TCTATCTGTCCGTCTGTCTGTCTATCTATCTATCTACCTATCTGTCTATCTATCTGTTCATCCGTCTATCTATCTACTTATCTGTCTATCTATCTATCTATCTATTTATCTATCTATCTATCTATCTATTCATCTATCAGTTCTATCTATCTATCTATCTATCTATCTATCGTTCTGTCTATCTATCGGTCGATCTAATTATCTCTTACCCATTTTGTCTATCTCTTGTCTATACTGCTTATCTAGTCTATCTAGTCGATCTACCCTATCTAACCTATCTAATCTATGTATCTGTTCATCCGTCTATCTATCTATCTATCTATCTATCTATCTGTCTATCACTCTGTCTATGTACCTGCCTATCTGTCTGTCTATCTATCTATGATCTGCGAGATCTGTCAGTTCTATCAAATCTACCTAGTTGATCTAACCTGTTTACTCTACGCAGTCTACCCAATCTAACCTACCTAATTTAGTGTTCCATTTGCCTACCTAAACTTACAGACTTAGGTATCTATATCTGTAGCTGCTTATTTTTTTGTCTGTCTGTCTGTCTGTCTGTCTGTCTATCTGTCTGTCTGTCTGTCTGTCTGTCTGTCTGTCTGTCTATCCGTCTACTTGTTTATCTATCCACCTATCACTCTCGCGATCTCATGGTCTGTCCGTCTCTCTCTCTCTCTCTCTCCCCTCCCTATCTCTCTATGTTTCAATCTGTCAGACTGTCTCTCTCCCTCCCTCCCTCTCTCTCTCTGTCTATCTGCCTATCTACCTATCTACCTATCGACCTACTACCTACCTACCTGCCTACCTGCCTACCTACCTACCTACCTACCTAGCTAGGTGTCTACCTCTCCCTCTCTCTCAATCTCTCTTTATCCTGTCTAGCTTGCTGTCTGTCTGTTTGTCTGTCGGTCTGCCCGTCTGTGTGCCTATCTGTCTATCAATCAGTCTATCTATCTACGTACCGATCTATCCATCTGTCAGTCCGTCCGTCTGTGTATTCATCTATCTATCTATCTATCTATCTATCCATCTGACCCCCTTCCTATACTGACCCGCACTTTTTTCCTCTGCGTCTGACAGCATCTTCGCTTCATGCATGCGAGCTGTCACTGACATGATGATGAAAACGAGGGCTGGAGTGCGTTCGCATGCTGATGTGGTTTTCATGCCGTCCTGTTGTTACACCAGTCCAGCATTGGCAGAAGACATGAGGGATCTTTCTTAGGGGCAGCACTTCTCGCCCCCGCGACCGTCGGGGGTGCTGACACGTACTGTGGAGGGCCACAACCCGCCACCACCCTGGCGAAAGAAGAGCAGAAGCAACGACTGAAAGCTTCCGTGTTTTAGACGGCCTGTCGCATGGGTTGGTTTTGCCAGTGGAACTTCCGACATGGTTGAGATCCTTCACAAGGCTGCCGAGAATTTTATCACTGGATTTGTTCAGGGACTTCGAGCGATTTGAACGGCACTGTGGCGGGAGCAGAATTTATGAAGGCGGAGGGCCGTGTTGGATTTTGTTGCAATCAGTTGTTTTTTTTGGTGGATCCGGCAGCGCAGGACTGTGGCACGCTGCTTGGGGAACCTGCACAAGTCTTCATATGTTTATGTCTAATTCATGCGTGTATGTACGTATGTATGCATGCCTGTAGGTTGTAGGTGTCTATGCACGTATGCATACATACATATATGCTTATGGCGTATACGAACATGTGTGCTGGTTTCTATAAACGCGAGTTCTTTTCTTACATCCGCAACTCATCCCGCAGTCCGGTCTGACGCCTCCAAATCGCAGGAATTTGCCCACTTCGCCGATCTCCATGCGCAGACGTTCTTCCGACGCCGGGGCGGTTTTGCTTGAAGGGTCTTCAGCATGTCGCATCGTCAGGTGTCTATCATCCCCAGGACCCCAGGATCTGTTCGTGTACGGGCTGGGAGTTGGAGTCCATGAGTCAATGATGTGAGATCGCGTCAGGGTTTGTCATGCGCTTGCGAGGCTGTCAGTCGACTTGCACGAATGCATTGAGTAAAATCCAAAGTGTTTCAGCCTCAAACAACCCAGGGCAAAGATGGAATGTGCCCGAAGCTTATCCTCGAATCTGCTGGGTCCTCTGCGAGCTGTTCAGGCGGCGACGAAGTCCTGCACGGTTGCTCCAGTTACAGCCAGGCTGGCGGCAGTAACTTGAGCCGTGTGTTGCAGTCAGTCTCGTGTTCGCGATCAGCCACCCGAGTTCCTAAGCGCTCCACCTCGTCTGACCGTATGACTTGGTACTGCTCTGTTGGGGCATGTTAGGGTCATACCCGCAGACAGGATGCCCCTTGAATTCTAACCCCAAGACCAAACTAGCGCTCTTTCTTTTCAGCCCCTTCGAAGCCCTGCCAATTAAAGAACTTGACTGAGTCTTTCCCGACTTCTCCGACGAGCTTCTAAACGTTAGTGCCAAATTATGACCCCGAACCCTGAGTCATAGAGCCCTGACGGGTAGGCAAATCCATCCTCAATGCCTTGACAGCCCCTACCAGGGAGTCCACCACCCACCTCCGCCGGAACAGCGCTTCGGCGGCGTTGGAGACGCCGCGGCCGACACCGTGCGCGTTCCCTGGCTTGCAGATGGCGCTCCGCCCCACTTCTGCGGGATGGCGGACTTTGGGTCTCGCGTGTAGACAGGAGTTGTCGGAGCTTGGTGTTCAGACTCTCAAGACGTTCAACATCAACGAGTGCTGGGTTTCTATAGGCCCGGAAGCAGTTCAGCTCTCCGAATTTTCTTTGCAGCCTTCCCCTCAGGTTTGCTACAGAGAGTTACAAGGATGCGCAGGCCGCGAATTTCAGCGGCTCCGGGAGGGGGGGAGGGCAACCCCTCAGTCCCTTTAAAGGCAGATATATGAATAGGGGCCTTATATTAATTACCAATGCTATTCTGTGGGTTCCTTATTGTTATCATGATAGTGTAATGTACCCCAAGGGGTTCTCGAAGTCTTTCGTCCGAGTAGTTACTCAACAAACGTGCCCGTCGATCTTTATCGTCCGACCTGCGAGGCAGCTGGTTTGAGCCACTTGCGTAACACAGCACGATGCCGGAGCAAGATGGCTGGGCTCCCAGTTTGAGCAGCCGTATGAAGAGAGAGCGGCGCTGCTGGTACTTCAGGACGGTGATGATGGAGACAGCAGCAGGCTGATGTAATACGAACATGGGCAGTGCAGCCAGAGACTGCAATACTTCCAACTTCAAGCCGTCGCAGAGCCAGCGGCTTCAGAGATAAACCACGCCGGCAAATCCGCTCCTTGAAGTCGGTGGACCCAATCGGATGGTTAACCACCAAACAACCATCCGAGCACGAAAGCTTCAAAATGACAGACGGGAGTCTAAAAGAACAAGCAGAGCAGAAGCCGAACGAAGCTTCCAGAAGAGCCCGGGGAGCCCCAAAACCGCTGGCTTAGGGAGTTCAGGGATGGACTTGCCTGAGGTGGTTCCGGAGCCACTCGGAGAAGTTCCACCCTGGGCAGCCGATGTGGCTCCGCAGTCGAGGAGAGAAGCGGGTCCTACAATGGAGAGTCCGATAGGTTTAGGGTTTAGGGTTTAGGGTTTAGGAGGAATTTGAATTCCTTCACAGCAGGCGCTCGAAAGAAGAGCAGATGCAGCCATGGCTTCGGTCTAGCAGCTTTGGGGATCCGGATTCGCCTTTTTCCGATGTCCTGTTGTGTCTTCAGCCTTTAGGCTCCCATCTGCAGCATGTCGACTCCTTGGCCCCTTTGATCAAAGCCTCAGACGGAATCATAAGTGCAGTGAAGAGAGTAAACAAACAGTAAAGCTCATACAGAAAAGCAGTAACAACCATGATGCGAACGATGACAATTCTATCTTACTGCCCCAGCATGGCAAGTTGGCAGCAACCGACATGCCGCAAATTCCAGGAGATGGAGCTGCGACAGCTCCAAGAGAGCCAATCGGAGTCAGGTGCCTCCGCAGGATGTGCTGGCATTTGAATCGCTAAGGTGCTGAAGGTGTAGGCTTCCAAGGGGGATTATTGATGAAAGGTCTGAGGCTGTGGCAAGCAGCGCCTCTGGACATCAGGTCCTTCACGTTGAAACATTGCGCGATATCATGACTCCGACAATACACATGCAAAACCAACCACGGTTTGTGGAGCCTGGCTAGACGTCGAGTAGTAGTCAGATCTGGTGGCTTGAGGCTTCTTCCCACATCCTAGATCCTATCTCACTTCAGCCAAACAGCTAAAGCCACGATCCAGCTCCAGTGTAGGTGCTGGCCTCCCCCACGTCCTCCGTGGCATCAACGCGAACACCGAGTCCTGGGATGCCGCAGGCGTGTTTTGCTTTCAGGATGTCCACAGCAGTTTTGTGGTTTGTGCTAAGCTGCTCGACAAGGTTGAAAGTAGGTAGGTTTCAGACATATCCACAACTGAGAGGCCGTTGGGCCTGTGGCGATGTGGGCCCCGTCCTCGGTCGCCGAGCCAGGGGTTCAGGGATCTGGCCGTGTCCAGGGCGCTGCCATAGCTTTAGCCCCAGTGTTTTCACTGACTGCCGTCTTTCGAAGCCGGGGAGGCCGAACGTGTACGACGCGCAGAGCAGGCGATGCTCCAGAAAGACTTAACCATTGAATGCCTGGAGGCAGGCCCGGTTTTGAGATTTTTCAACGGCTGGCTGATTGAGCAGCACTGATCTGCCACGATGCCCCAGTTATCGGTTCATGTGCTTCAAGATCCCGCAACCCTCAACTCGTACCATTAAGTCAGGGCCCTCCTTGTCACGGAGCACCAAACCCCAAAATCAACACCAAAGAGGAGCGTGTCCGGCAGCTGGAGCAGAGCACCCAGAGATGTGGCCAGAGCCGGCACCTGAGATCGCGCGCACGTCTGAGTCGAAGTTGGGGGGGCAAGCAGGCTTGGGCACGTCTGTGGCTTGGGGGATGTGTGATACTTCTTTGCAGCTTCATGAGACACTGTGTTTTGCTTCGCCGATCTGAACTTGAGGAGTCCTCCTCGAATCCTTTAGCGTGAACCCCGATCCCACGCCGGTCCGAAAGGCAGCAGCACAAGCAGCTCTCTCACATCCATTCGAGGCCAGGGTTGCGAGGGCCATTTTTGGGTACCGAAATGCGTGTGAGGAATCCAGTGTCCTCGTGTATTGTAATCATGGGACAGTCCATGCACAGTCGAACGCAATGATGTCATGTAGAATGCAGCAGCCGGAAGTTAGCCCGTAAAATAGACGGAACCCAGCTGCTGCATTGTGTACGAGCTGCGCAGGACAGATGCCATATCAGGGAGACGATGAAGCTTCAGATGCAGGCCTCTTGCAATTTCAACTGCACCACTCCTCTCCTCCGCAGAACCAAACCGTAGCATGCTGTCAGGATCTCGTCTTCGCTGTCGTGGTGGTTGTCGTTGTCGTCGCTGTCGTAGGCTCTGTCGTCGCCGTCGGCCCCGTCGTCGCCGAAACAGCAATCGTAGCAGCCGGTGCATTTAGTACCAGGCTCATTCTCAGTCTCTTTCTCTGATTTCCTCTCCCTATCTCTCCCTGTCATTTATGCATCCGTGTTTGCTTGCTTGTGCATGAGCGTAACTACGGAAGACCAACAGCATCTCGCAGGAAGCTTGAATGCCGAGATGGATGCAGCCGTCGCCAAGAGCAGCTCGGCCCGTACCTGTTGCAGATGACCGCTATCTGGGTTCGAACCTGTGAAAGGGATCCAACCTAGGATAAGAAGTGGTACTTGGGTCATCTTCCCTACCTTTGTTGCTGCTTCATCCAAGGCGAAGCACTGCTCCGGAGGATGCCTGAGCCCCGTCATCCGAAAGGGTATCGGGCAAAGTGAAAGTTTGGTATTTAGGCCTTCGGGGTTCAGGAATTTCTGACTTGAGAAGTTCGGTGAGCGAGTCCCTGTGCCGGCCACTTGACCATCGTGTCTGCAATCCTATCCTGGCCGTGGCAGTCGCAGCCGAAGCGGTACCCGTAGTAGTCTCCTGCGTCGTCATCGTAGAAGTTGTTGGCGGAGCAGCAGTGGCCGTAGCAGTACGCATGGTGATTGTTGTAACAGGGTAGCAGTGTTGTTGGAAATCGTAGTGACTGGCAGATAGCGGCAGAATTGCGACTGGCAGTCGTCTTCGCCAACACAGCAGCAGGAAGAGTGGCAGTGCCTGTAGCTGGGGGAGGGGGGGGAGGAGCTCTGTTGCTGCCAGTGGTCGCAGTAGTTGAGGATTGCAGTGGAAGCTGCGATAGCAGGTAGCAGCAGCAGCAGCTGTTGCTATTATCCGTGCACTGAAACCTGTTCTTTGTTTCAGCATGTACCTTTCAGGTGTGCTTCAGACGACGTCATGTCGTAGTCCGAAGCTTTGCTTGAAGCAGGTCGGCACTCGATTACTCAGCAGAACCAGAGCTGCAGTGGGCGGCGATGATGGCAGCACACGAGGAGAGCAAGGACTGACACGGCTTCGCGGGGTTTGGGGAGACATTCTGCGGGAGCATGGAGTGGACAGCTCAAGGCCTGGGTTCGATTCGCTGCCCGACATGTATCCCAGGAGCCTGCACGCGCACAAAGGTCTTAATTAGTGACCAAGGTGTGCGGATGAGTGCAGACAGTGTTATTTTTTGGTTTGCCGTCCTGTTGACAATTTTGATAGTCCAGCGTGTGGTCTGATTGTTTCCAAGCCTGGAAGCTCGAAGCAGCCGCAAACTCGTCAGGAGAAGCTGTCGCAGATTGAGCAGCTGGTTCAGCGCCGGATTGCCCTCAGCTCGGGTACAGACGCACCGCTCATGCACCATGACCTTCGAGCGAAGCCACCGTAAAAGAACTTGCTGCTAATCTTTGTACACTCTATTCTTCCTGGCATGGCTCTTCAGATGAAGCAGCAGTTGTTCTTCCGTCCGTGGCTGCTGCGGGTACACAAGCCAAGATCATGCAGCATGTCAGCCTTGAATAGCCTTGAGCATGGACCATCCGTGCCCAGGAGCAGCTGAAACCAGGGGATCGTGAGCTGAAGATTTGTCGGGCTGTGCGCAACCGCCTTCCTTCTTGTCAGCATCCGGAAGGGGTCGCTATCAACCGTAGAGTGCATACCGTCACTGTGAGCACTGGTATTAGCACGACGCTGGCGAAACCCCGCCGCTTGGTCAGGTACGTGGAGTCTGCGTTTCGTCCCAGAGATCCGTGCATGGTGCTGAGACGTCGTTTGATTGCCGTTCTGATGCTGCGCGAGATGGAAATGCCTGCTTGCTCGACGGAGTTAGCAATGTTCATTGCCCACAGACTTGTCTCCAACCTTCATTCTCAGAGCTTGCCTGAGCGTGCCTGGTTCCTGCGCAAACCGTACACCACGTACCAGCTTGGCAGGCCCAGGAAGTGGGGCCGCAGCCGCTGATTCCAGGCTGTGTCGCTGATGTTTGTAAGACCGGAACCTAGGAGCACATGGGCTGGTTGTATGTTGAGCATGTCCTATCAATCGATGAACGACCCGGTGGCTAGTGAAAAAATGCTGAGGGCAAAGTGGGTGGTCCGCACGACCGCTTTTTTGCTTACAGAGATTGCAATTTACATCTACCTCGGAGAGGCTGTTGCCTCGGAGAGGCGGTTGCAGTGAAGTGGTGTCTTGGCTGCTTGAATGGCCTACACTTCCAGACCTGTTGGAAGTGTGGCCGGATGCAGCGGGTTTTGACCTGGGTCATGTGATGTCATATGCAAGCCGAATGGGAGTACCCGACAAAACAGAGTGTGTACAAAGAGCTGCAAAGCAAAGCGGCACAGACGCCTTTATCGCCTGCTTCTATTGTCGACTTCGCGCGTAATCGAGGTTTGCATGGTGCACTTGGAGCAAACCGCCCCTTCCGGATACCCTGGGCGGGGTTGTCATCCTTTCATTCAGCAGGCAGGCATGCAGCAAGACGAGCAGTCGAGTCTAGTGCCGCCCCGAAGTGCCAACCATGCCACGTGTTTCGACCCGTGAAACACGCAGGCCATCAGCCATTGAAATTGGATTCCGCGGAGAAGAGATTGCACACGACGTGATGATGTTTTTAGACACCTTCACGTATGATATATGCAAACCCCAGTCACCTCGCCGTAGGTTCCAGCCCTAGGGTGATGTGACAGTCGCGATGTATGTCCCCGAGATAGCAGAAAACCCCGTAGTGGCATGTTGCAACGGCCAGATGACAGAGGGTTTATCAAGACAGCAGCCATGGTTCGTGACGATCCTGGCGGTGCTTCTCGAGTGGGCCATAACAGCTCTTCTCGACCGTGTCGAGACTCCCATGATCTAGAAATGCTTGACCAAGAAGCCTTCAACAGCAGCTAAACGGCCTCCAGACTACATCATAGAACCCTTGTGTATACAGTGTATCGTATTAGTAGCCCTTGTTGTGGTAACCCCTTCTAGTAGGCCTTTTTGTCACTCCCTTTAGGACCCTCAAAGCAGAAAGAGAGCCCTAAACCCTCTAAGCCCGAAGCCCTAAACCCCAAACCATAGCTTAACTCCTCTAACTTGGAAGTTCCGAACTCCAATAGGCGGACGGAAAAAGGCATTAAAAAGAAAGAAAAACATAACTTTTAAACGGAGCCCGAAGCCCAAAACTCCCGAAGCTCCGCAATATTTCTGCTGCTTCCTTAGAGACTTCGGAGGCCTGGCGGCTTTTTCCCGGGATGCTTGCATTTCTTGATTCTTCGGGGTTTAGGGTTTAGGGTTTTGGGTTTAGGGCTGCTATGGATCACTATATGGGTGCAAGATGTTTTGAACGCAAGCCCAGGATCGGAAACGTTTCCGAATCCGTCAGCCAAACCAGAGCCGACCTGATGCGAGCTTGACCCGTAGCTTCTGTTTCCATCTTTTGAGAGGACAAAGTGCTGCATTCAAGCAGAGGGGGTGGGGGGGGGGCTTCAAGGAGCACTTCTGGAATCTTCCAGGTGCCAGCAGCTGCAGGTTTGCAGTAAGATATCTGGTGCTAACACATTGCATGGACGGCGAAGGACCGCAGTGAACTGCGGTTGAACTGGGATGTAGGATATGTGAGGCCTGGGAGCTCACCAGTCCCGCCGCCGAAGCACCAGGTGTGTTCGTGTTGTGGCTCGAACATGACACCTGCCGTGGGTTTCTGCGTAGGCATCGACAGGGAAGCATCAGCCACTTTTCGGAATGAAGTATGAAGTCCCCGAAGCATTTTCTACTGCAGTCATGCAAACTGCAAGATCAAGCCTGTCGTGCTTTGCGCTGCATCCCTGGTTGCATCCTACCAACACAAAAGGAGTGTGTAGGTTGATCCCGAGCCGATCGCGGCAATCGCAAGAAAGCTGAAACAACTTGACCTTACACACAGCACGTGACCGCTCGGTCAACCCCGAAGCTGCACCCTACGACCCTGAAGCATCGACCCCAAACCTCAGACATTTCAACTCTTTAACATCGGGCGGCTGTGATCCAGCTTCGCTTTCGCGATGAGCTTCACGCCACCCGAGGTGCCTTGAAGGGGTGCTTGGAAGATCTTGGAAGATGCCTTTTAGGAATACAGGAACTCCCAGTTCCTGACGTGACGTAGCATTAGGGCTGTCCTTGCCAGAGGCCAGTGAAGGCATATATTTGAGGGCTGCGTGACTGCGAGACCGCAACTACACGAGGTGTCGAAGGACACGGCTTCAAGTACAGCTGCTGGGACAGGCCCGACATGAGTCATGTGTGCTTCTTCCGGCATGTACCCACCCTCCTACCCACCCGTTTGTCATGGACCCTTACTTCCCCTTGAGGTTCAGATATCGGAATGAGTCAACACTGCGCTCCGATGTGTTGCATTCGTGGTCGCAGAACTGCAGGTACATCAAGAGAGCGAGAGTGAACCATGCATGATCACACACACACACACAGAGGTCAGAACACCCCCACCGGAGCTGCGAGCACGCGATCGGATGCCAAAGAACCAGCGAGGCCTGGTAGCTGAGGAAAACTCATAGGGTTCGGGCTTTGCACTTCAGGGTTTACAATCAGCAGATTCGCAACGGTCCGTGAGGGCCGACTCGTGAGGAGCATCGTTCGTTGAAAGATTCTGTGAGGAGGGGTCAGGCAGCTCAAGTTCGCGATCATTGCTATCGGTGATCATTCTCAAGATTAAAAGCCACGCCGGGCCGTGCCATGAGGCTGCACATGCTGCTGCTACTTAGCCAGGGACCACGTTTTCCTTGGCACTTACTCCGGCACAACCCGTCAAGTACATCACTGAGCCGCGAAACGGCACGGAAGCAGTCTGAAACCACGCATCTGAAACCGCACCCGTTTAGGGAGATCGCTGGCAAGTTCTGGGGATCGAACGAGTTAGGGCAGCAGATGTCGGCATGCCTCCGGCCAATGATCAGGTTCGGCATCACTCATCCGATTACTACGCAAGCGCCCGTCTCAGTCATTGCGAGTTTCTGTGTGGAGGCTGAGGGCTTCACACAATGAGAGGTGTTTCGGGTACTCCGTGTTGCATGCAATATCAACCTTGCTTTTGTGTTGTCCACTGTAGTTGCAGTCCCATCGGACTAGGATCCCGGGCAAGCATCTCTCCTTTGCCAGGAGGCCACGGAGGCAGAGGTGCTGGCCAGCGAGATGCTGAAGCAGGCCAGAACTCGTCTGGAACCTTTCAGCCCTGTAGGGCCTGCTTTTGCTTTCAGCGTGCCTGCAAAGTCCTTGCAACGCTCTTCATCAAGATGGAATCAGCACAGAGCTCATGGGCAGCAGCAGAAGCAGACAGCAGATGGAGAAGAAGAGCATTGTGAAGAAGCAGCATCAACTGCAGCAGCATCTGCTGCTGCTGCTGCTGCTGCTGATGATTTCAGATTGCGCGCATGTAGTATCGAGATATCGGGATGTACGAAGTACAGCTGGGAGCCGGGCGAACCTACTTGCCTGTCCTGCCACAGCAACGCTGCGACCACAAAGACAAAGGATGTCCGGCGACGATGGTGGCGATGACTTGGTGGGGGATGGTGGTGATGATGATGGCGGTGAAGCAGCAATCGGAAGAAGAATGGTAAAGGTAAACAAGAACAGCTGCCTGCAGCCTTGCCTGTCCTTCCCATCTCGCCAGGAGCTCGAGATCGACTTCCCACGGGAGACTGCCCAGGGCCTTGCGAAGCGCGAGGAGGTGCTCCAGGACAGCCAATTCCTTGGACCATGACCAGTAGTAGCAGTAGTGGCAGACAACGCCGACACCAACAGCAGCAACGACGACGACGGCGACGACAACGATAACGACAACCACAACGACAACCACAGACACAACCACAGCCACAACCGCAACCACAACCTAGTAGTAGTAGTAGTAGTAGTAGTAGTAGGAGCAGCAGCAGCAGCGATAGCAGCGGTAGGAGGTAGTGGTAGCGGTGGCGGTGCTGGTGGTGGTAGTGGTATAGTGCAGTGGTAGTGGTAGTGGTAGTGGTGGTAGTGGTGGTAGTGGCGGTAGTGGTGGTAGTGGTGGTAGTGGTGGTAGTGGTAGTTATAGCGCTAGCGGTGGCCGTAGCGGTAGGGGTAGGGACAGCGGCAGTGACGCTGGTAGTGGTGGCAGTGGTGGTGGTGGTGGTGGTGGTGGTCGTCGTCGTCGTAGTAGTAGTAGTAGCAGTAGTATGAGGAGGAGGAGTAGTAGTAGTAGTAGTAGTAGGAGTAGGAGTAGGAGTAGGAGTAGGAGTAGGAGTAGGAGTAGGAGTAGGAGGAGGAGTAGGACTTAGGAGGAGGCGGAGGACCACTCCGGCTGGAGCCTTTGCAGGAGCTTCAGCGCATCATCTCCGAGTGGATATCGGAGGAGGGTCGCGCACAAGGCCGGTTTTGCTGGGAATTTTATCGTTCGAAACAGTGGGATGCTGATTGCAAGGACCCCAACATGAGATGCCCTTAGTGTTTATTGAAGATGGGAGGCTCGATTGCATTTCGCAATGCTACGGTCTTGCGCACTATAGCGAGCCGTGCCATACAGGAAATACCCTGACAGTACCGAAATGCTGGATTATATTACACGGACCATAACACACGCTCAAGATGGAGGCCGTTTTGACGTAAAGCTTAGAACGACGACGGAGCAGGGTAGGCAGCCGGGGCAGCTGTGCGGCTGACGCTATGCTGCGCACACGTGGCTCTAAGTTGCAGATAGGAAATTCTAGGTTTAAATTGGGACGTTTCGCTGTTTGCCAGTTTGGCATCAGAGTGCCCTGACATCTCCGGAAGGCGTCGAAGCCAGCATGTCGGCGAAGATCGTGACAGTGGGCTCCTACAGGTGGCCTTCATCAGGGAGTCGAACATCACACAAATTTTAAACAGCTATTGCCAATGCTTTCTTGTAGCCCATCGGTTCTGCTAAAGTTGGCCAGCCTCCAGGCTTGGCGTGGTGCAGCCTGGCAGCGACATAGACACCCTTTGCATCGCACCGCCTCACGTGACGAGGGAGGCAGAGCGGCTGCACAACATTGCAGAACAAGCCGTGCCAGAGAGCAACGAGCGTTAGGATCCACTCGAAAAACCCCTGAGCCCATGCCGGCCGGGGCTTTCGCAGGCTTCGAGTTCGGAAGCCCCCGTGTCCCTTGAGTGAAGTCGATGGCTCCCTGGCTACAAGGCCAATGTCCTACAATCCGAGCTGCAGGCCTTCTTCACTGTCTTCCTGAAGAAGCTGGAGCAGAATCCACATGTGTCGGACCGGGTACTTTGCTCTACTCTGTTCAACTCTGAGCGCAGTGATTCAGACTTTTCGAAATGTTGGATGGAGTACCAAGTATGCTGAAGCAAAGCCATACTGCAAGAACAAGAACGACTTCCTGGGCAGCTCATGGAAGAAGCCAAAACTGGTCTGAAGCCGCCCCGGCACTGAACAGGACTGCGTCCCTATTCCTGGCGCGCTGGTTGCCCAGAAGACATTCTTGCTGTTGCGGTCGTGGAAGCCTGTGCATCCCTGCGCAGAGTTGAGGTACACTCCGATCATCAAGCTGAAGCTTAGGGGTGCCAGGGCCACAGGAAGATGCGAGTAGAGGCAGCCACTCTTGCAGTAGGATGTTGCAGAACGACGTTGTAGTCTGTCACCGATCGTGTCATAATCAGGATCGCAGTATTGTAGGTCGTGTTCTGTTGGGCTGCTTACAGTAGATTTCGTTGGATGTATCTTTAAAGCCGAATTTTGCGCTGTCTCATCGTGCTACGACATCTCAGGTCAGCATTGATCTGCTGTTCGCTCGCTTGGTGAGGCAGGTCCGTGCTTGTCGCGGCTGCTCCCTCCTGACAAGGTAAAGAATGAGTATGAATGTGGGTGCCGTACTCTCCTGTGGTCGAAGTTGTTGTTTTGTCTCGGTGAGTTTTGATCTGGGGCTGTCGCTTCGCTGGAAGATGCTGGAAGGTCTCTGGATGATGGGAAAGATCTTGAGGAAGCAGTGAAGGCTGTGAGCTAAGTTTGCATGCGTATACCGAACGCTGGAGCAACCACAGCCATCGCCGGTCTCCGATATTAAAGCCCGTTAACAGTTAACGACTTACAGATAAGACTCGCACGCCATTATGAAGCTGCTAGCGAGTGCGACGTGCAAATGGTGGGCAAGCCGAGTTGTGTCGTATGCGTGCGCCCACATTTGCCTTGAAACGGGTTCTCAGGATGACGAAGTGCTGCGGGATATGGATGACAAGAGTGCTTGAGCCCGAGTTGCTTCGCAGTGAATTTCTGCCGCTGCTTAAGCCCTCTTTGCGCGAAGAGAGCTGTCAGGTTCGGTGCATAAACGGCTACCGAGTCGCCGCCCGCGGCCCAGAAACCTCGAAGCTCTCCCACAGACTGGGGATTCATGCTCCTCTCCACCCTCCTAAGGGTCCCTGCAGCCGCTGAGGATAGGATCTTGCAGCTGGTGCCGAACCAGGATGCCTTTCGAGAGACGCTTCGCTTCGTCTTGGGCTCAGGGCTCTGAGGGCTCACCGGCCCATCTGTTCCGGTGACGAGATGCATCCATCGCAGCCTGAACTGCACTGAACAGCTGGAACATCAGCTTCGGCACTAATCTCACAAAGAACGTTCCTGTGCGAAGGAAGAGACACCAAGACCCTAGTCTTCCCATGGAGGCATGTGCCGCCGCACTCATGATCCGTCCTGAGGTCAAGTGCTGGGCCAAGAGGCCTGAAGTTCCGGGGTCTGGCGTGTTTACAGGCTTCAGGGTCTCGTTGAGAGCTTGAGCGGCGACGCGACCCGGTACGGAATCGGTATTGCGGACTCAGACTGACAAGACCGAACGCATATAGCGAAGCACGCGGTGCAACGTCCATCTTGGGCTGTAAGTGGAGCTGTAGTTGCCTACAGACACCAACAAGACGGCTAGAACTGAAGAGTTGTCTCCCGGCTCGTAGGCGAGGTATATACTCCAATGCCAGGAGCCTGGGTGTGTGCATCTAATTTGGGGCGCAGAACAGCAGCAGACACCGGTACTGAGGTGTTGGGCTTTTTTGGTGGCATTACCTGGGCATTGTTGGTAGCCCGGGTTTGTCAGGCACTGAGGTACCACATGGATGTACGGACTTGACTATACCAACGAAACTCGCATGCACACAAATCAAGTTGCAAGTTAAGCTAAATACAAAGAAGCACACATACATACATACATGCATGCATGCATGCATGCATGCATGCATGCATGCATGCACGCACGCATGCATGCATACATGCGTACATACAGACATCTCTATATATATATATATACATA